AATACTGCCTTTGCTGTAGACCTATAACATGCTATGAAAATTAGCAATTATTGCTAATTAATTTTTTAATATTTTGAAATTTTGAAATATTTAATTTTTGATTTTTTAATATTTCAAAAATATTTTTAAACAGGTGACTAAAATTTAGTTCTTGAATGTGAATGCTGTGGTTTCATTTTGAGAAGTTCTGGGTATCTGATGACCTCACTGAAGTACTGGCAGTTTCAGATACTGTTACTGAGTGGCAGTGGTGGAAATTATGGGACCTTTACACATTCAAATCTACACTTCAGCACCTTGGTAAACTCATTATCCTGTAGCATCTGGGACACCTGACCATCTGTTATCAAAGTTCATAGTTCCTTCTCACTTTTCTGACACATTAGTATTTTTCAATCCCATTGTGAAGTTGAACAAATCCATTCAAAGATTAAGAGATCAAAAGAATGTGCCTATAAATTACAGGCAAACGAGCCTGAGCACTCTTCTGTGCTAAATGTTATGGCTTGCACCTTTTTTCATGTTATATTTCTCCACTGTGTGATAATTTCATTGGCCACACTGTTAAGTTATGAAAGAATGTGAATCATACAGATGATCCCAAATGACTGTAAGCAAAAAACAGCAACTAGGATCTATTACATATTTATGTCTATCAGGAAAAAAAAAAATTAAATAGTTAACTTGTGCAAACTATTTTTCATATACTACCTGCCAAATTCATGCTGCCATAATGGATCAGGCAGGCTTTGGAATTACAGGAATATCAAACAAAAAATGTAATTGCCTTATCTTCAGAGAGTTAATTTAAATGCTTCATAATTTAAAATCTGATACCTTGTGAATGCCTTGGTTTATGTACAAAAGCTGTGCTTCACCAGAAAGCATGGAATCCTAGCTCTTCAAAGGGATAAGATACAGATGTTTCTGTGCTGGTGATTCATTGTATAGTAAAATGTCACTGCCCAGAGAACAACACCACATACTGGAATTTAATTTCACCTGATTCCCATTTGGAGGGAAAGAAAGAAAGAAATATTTTAACGTAAAAAAAAAAAAAGAGAGCGAAAAAGAAAGAAATTACAGCTGTTTGAAATTCGCTGAGAGGCTCAGAATGTAGCTTTAGTTGAGGTGTGTTAGCAGGCAGAAGGGGCAAGCAAAGAGGTAAAACTTATAAAAGAGGTCCATGATACTGTATTTAAGTCTGTCATAAGAAAACAGCTCTAAGGAATGCCTTTGAGTGTGATCAGAATTGTGTATACTCGTTTGCTTGTGTTGAGCAGACAAATACATTTGGGAACCAGGGTTTTAGAGGCAATACTCTTATTGTTCAGATGCCTCAAGCTGAGTGTCTTAGAATTATGCTGATTTTACTTTAGTGCCAGAATATGGGCTTCTGTTTTCAAACATACACACTCCACTCCATGTTACTTGGCCTGCATTTTGAATGGAGTTCACAGACCTGGGATTCAGTACCACAGTCTGCTCCATGGTGAGTCAGGAGTTTCAGAAATGTGATTTCCAGCAAGGGGAATAGATATACCAGACATTAGAAAATACTGAAGATAAAGGTGTTTCCGAAAATGTATTTCTTTTCTGCTTTTAGGAACTTGGGCACAAGGTTTCAGAGCTTCTTATACCTTCTTGTACTTAGACATCCAGACGTCTTTGTTTCTTCATTTAAACAGCATCGAGGGCAGCCTCTGCGTTAAGAGAGGAAACAGAACAAAAGATAACAAAACACACACACACACACACAAACCCAAAACCCAAAACAAAACAAAATAAAACAAAATAAAAACCAAGAGGTAGAAAAAATTAATTCAGCACATTTTTTAGACTGAGGGAATTAAATTCATATTTCCACTTCCCAGGAAGTTCCCCATGTACAAGACTAGAAGAGAGGATGAAAAAAGTAAAGGTTCTCACTCTTGCTATAACTATGACTCAATGTAGAAAAATATGTGTGATTTGTAATCTTGATTTAAGCAGAGTGTTAAACATGATTTCATAGCTCAAGGATGGAGGCACTTACCTACTGAGGGAAGGAGGAGGGGAAGCAACCTGGATTCTGGCCCCTGCTTCAAGCACTATTTATGTATGTTACTCAATTACAAATGCAAAATGTGTAGGCAGCCCCTGGGGCAATAACCCAGGACTTCCTCTTCAAAAGGAGCACCTATTAGGGTTGCAAATTATCCTCTCTCAATGAATCTTGCTTCCTGTCCAATACAGAAGTATGGTTTCAGCAGGCATGACAGACATTTCTCCAGCCTGAGATTCACCTTGAGTTGGTGCTGGATGCACTCTTGGGAGATGTGGGAAAGATCTCCTCAGAAAGAGACTGGCAGTGAACCTGTATCTCCCACTTCAAGGGCAAGTGCCTTATCTACAAGTATGATGCTATGTAAAATGTTGGCAGTTGTGCATCTACAACCTCTGGACATGTTTCTGGGAGAAAGTCTCTCGGGCTGTTCTTCATGATGAGGCTTCATGATGTATGTTAGGCATCCTCAGAAGATACTTCATGAAGCCTCTCAGGAGATGCCACACCTGCACATCACAAGCAGTCTTTGGTGCAAGATAGGTTTCAAGATTTTCAGCTGTATAGAAATAGCAATGGTAATGAGAGATGCAGTATCAGAACTTAGAAAATTTTATCAGCAAAAACATGGTGTAGATTTTTGTGACCATTTAGAGTACATGTATGTACTGGTGTAAATATACCTTCCTGGACTATTTGTTCCTTTTTTGAATTTATTTCCCCAAGTTATTTTGTCAACCAGCAGCAAGACTGGAAATTAGCAAATTAGAACCCAGAAATCCTGCTATGCTACAGTCTCTCTGTAAAACATGTAAATATATTTACAATTAAACCCAGTATTTTAATGTTTTTGTTTTGTTGAAAATTAAGTAGCTGGCACCTAACTGAACTTAAGAAAAATCTTCTCTGATAGTCGCCATATCTATGAAACATGTTGTTTCTATGTCATTGTCATGTATTAGTTCCTTGAGAGACTTTCCAATAGATTCTTTTTTTCATACCTTTGTTCTCCTGGCCCCCATTCTCTTTTATTCTGGGTTCTGTTCCCTCAGACCAAAGTCCTGCTCCTTTGCTCCTCTCATCATGGTCTTTCTTCCAAAGAGACTACTTGTCTAAATGACAGAACAAGAGGATGAAGGGCAAAATATTTTGCTATTATTTTGAATACAATATTATAAATGCATCCTTGTATTTTTTATATATTCAGAGATAAATAAATTATGCTTACTTTGGATAATCTTAACAACCTATAACAAGTTAGAGTTTCCTATATAGTGGGAAATATGCAGAAGACTATAGCAGGAGGATCCTTTAAATATGATTTTTTATTTAAACTAAAAGGGTAAATCAGCTATTCTCAGAGCTCAACTCAATAAAGGACTTAAAATATTGAATAAAGTGCTTAAGTATTTTTTTAAGTTTTATGTAATATGATAGAGAATTTTTTTTAAGTGGGGCCTTATTTGTGAGAACAGCATGATCCAGGTAGCATAAAACAGGATTTTGATCCCTGCTATACTTATGTTGGTTACCTCTCCTCAGTTCACTGTATTAGTAGGCAGTCTTAAATATACCTAAATATAGGTTGACCAAAAAGAAGAATGTCTGAATTAAACTTCCTTTTGGGAGCAAAATAATTTCTAAGTGATAGTGTGCTCTTAGATGGCTTGTTGATTTGTTTTTTGGTTTGCGGGTTTTTTGGGGGTTTTTGGGGTTTTTTTGGTTGGTTGGTTGGTTTGTCTTTTCTGCATCTTGAATTTGGGCAAGTAGACACTGTTTTGCTTTTTCTATTGGTCATCTAAATGGACCTAAAGTATAGCAAAAATTCAAATGCATATTCAAAACCTCCTAGACATATGAAAGTAAAAAAGGACCAAGAAATGTGTGTGTGGTCAACGCACTGGAAGGAGAGGATGCCATCCAGAGGGACCTTGACAGGCTGGAGAGATGGGCCAATGCAAACCTCATGAGGTTCTACAAAGCAAAGTGTGGGGTCCTACACCTGGGTCAGGGCAATCCTGGGCACTCCTACAGGCTGGGGGGAGAAGTGATTGAGAGCGGCCCTGTGGAGAAGGACTTGGAGGTGATGGTTGATGAAAATTTAACGAGCTGGCAATATGTGCTCACAGCCCAGAAACCCAGTGAAATCCTGGGCTGCATCAAAAGCAGCATGGTAGGTAATTTTACCCCTCTGTTCTGCTCTTCTGAGACCCCACCTGGAGTGCTGCATCCAGCTCTGGTGACTCCAAGATGAGAAGGACATGGAACTGTTGGAGCAAAGCCGGAAGAGGGCCAATGTAAGTGGACTGGAGCACTCCCCTACTAAGACAGGCTGAGAAAGTTGAGGCTGTTAATCTTGGAGAAGGGAAGGTTGTGTGGAGACCTCATTGCACCTTCTAGTATCTGAAGGGGGCCTACCGGAAAGCCAAAGAGGGACTCAAAATGAGGAACTATAGTGATAGGATAAGGAGTAATGGGTACGAACTGAAATAGGGGAAATTTATGTTAAATATATGGAAGAAACTCTTTACTGTAAGGGTGGTGAGGCATGAGAAGGTGTTGCCCCGAACAAGCTGTGCATACCCTACCTCTGGAACTGTTCAAGACCAAGCTGGATAAGGCTCTGAGCAACCTGGTCGAATGAAACATGCTCCTCCCCATGGCAGGGGGATTGGAACAAGATAATCTTTATGGTTCCTTCCAAATCAACTCATTCTATGATTCTATGAAATGATAGACTTTTTATGTGGAGGATTGAGAGAACAAAAATGGCAAATCTCTTCTACTCTTTCATTGTTCTTAGACTTAAATAGTAGTGAACTGGAGACATTGCTTCTATCTGAAAAAAGGGTTTCTTATATCAGTGTGAGCCAAGGGCTTTTACCTTAACTCTCATTGCATGGTGCACAAGACTCTGGAGGACAGAACCCTTTGGAATGAAAGACTGAGGACTGCATGTAGGGAAAATTCCACTTTTTATTTTTTTCACTCATCATTTATTTACAAATACACATTATAACTTTTATATACATTGCACATTTACATGGTAGAAAAGTACAAAACTATATATTTAAATGAATTTATATTTAACTCGCCATGTTTGAAAATATAAAATTGCATCAGAAAAAAAGTATTATGAAAAGCAAGAAACTTGAACTGATAAAGCTTTGATATAACTTTTAGCAACACACCGGTTGGGAAAAGAAAACTTTGAAAGTGGTAATGCAAGACCATATTAAAGGAAACACCTGATAAAACACTTATGCGTGTTACAAAAAAAAACACCCAAAACAAAAAACAAACAAACAAAACCACCAATAAAAATAAAATAAAACCCTTATTACAGTTATCCCCATAGCTGTTATCAACTTTCATAATCCAAGATCTTCGGATATGGAATTTGTATAAACTCTCAATACATTGAGATCACTTCAGCACATGTGATCAGAAGCAGAGAAAAATTAAGGGGAAGAAGTTTCCTTAAAATTCGCCCCACTGCACCCTGAAAGTATACTTAAGTCAGTTACAATGCCTTTTGGTCAGTCAAGATTCCTTGTAAACAAAAACACAGGGATCTTTAATGTACAGAACCGGCAAGAAGAAAATCCAATAAATAAACATAACAGAAACTGACATGCAAGTTTGTTAAAGTGGAATTTAACATCAGTAAAACAAAGAGATGAGATCACATGGGTAGGCTCTAAGGAATAGTTATAGTTTACAAGAAAAAGAAAAGCTTTACTTTACAAGCAGGAGACCTCACAATAAATAACACTGCTCTTCCCGTAACGAATAAATTTCTTCAAAAAACAAGGTGTACAGTCAACCAGACATTTTATGTATAAATTATAAAACATGACACAGTATAAATAAATGTCTACGAGACTCAACTATATGTATACTTTTTTTTTTTTCTCCCCAAAATAAATAAGCATACACTTATTTACAGTATGGACATTGATTTTGTGCCCAATGGCTGTTTCAATAGTGATGGAGGTTTTACCACTCTAGAATGGAAGATATAGGAAAGCTGTAGTCCTGGTCTTCATCTTCCTCTTCATCTTCTGGGTCTTCATTAATGGCTAGATGGGGGAATACAGGGGAGCTGTTGTTTAAATAAGGACAACAACAGCGCAGAAGCAGCTCAGTGCATGTTTTCAAAGCCCTCTGAACAGCCATAATACAGCGTTGCATTTTATGCGACTTGTAGTGAGATGCTCTTTGGCATCTGCTGTTATGAAATAAGGGTTTTTATACGTAATCTATGAAGTCATAACTGCAGAAAGTTCTGAAGAATCAATGGCTCAGGTTTTATTGGCAGATTCCTGAAAACAAATACAGAGCGCTCAGGTGTTCTAGGTTTAATTGCTTTGTGTCCTTCATTCAGAGTTAGAAGAGGCAACTGTGCTAAACCAGATGCCCCTGCGCTACCTTTAAGCTTGTTCTTTTGGACCGAGTTAAGAGTTTATCCGGATGTTAATAAAGCAATCAGCAAAGCACACGAGAGCAGACAAAGTATGAAAAAGTCACTAGAATTACAATCCTCGGGCAACACCTTTCTGATAGAATGGCTTGTCCTTGGAACATCCCCAAAACTCCAACTTGAAGGCCAGCTCGTTGTTGGAGATCTATTGCATTTTATCAGCAACAAGTGTGTGCGTGATAGATAGATACTTATACTCTACTGTACCTTGAATCAATAAATCAAGCTTTCTTATGTTTAAAGGTGTAAGTCTTCATTACCTAGGTATCGCCTTCAGAAGCTTTAAGTGTCTGCGTAGTTAAAAATCTCACTTACAGTTGCAAGATCCAGAGTGCTTTACTTCTAGAAGCACACCCATTGAGCAGGCTGCCTCTTTCATGGCACACTCGCTTGGGTAAGTTGTGTTATCACTGGCACAGACTGCCTCTTCTGACTTGCTTTCGGGGCAGAGCTCATCGCAGAGAGCACACCGACCTCTACCAACCTTAAAATCCCACAGGCATTTCTTCCCAGCAGTGCACTGAATGTCTTCACAGGATTTTGCTTCTAAAAATACACACAGGATACTAGGGGTAAGTGAAAAGACAAAGCAAAAAAAAAAAAAAAAAAGCAATGACAAGCAACCCCAGAAACCTCCTTTTCCCTGTGAACTGTGAAGAAACAAAGCTCAGATGTAGTACATGTGATGATACTTGCTGATTTTGCTCAAGCAAGTATTCCCTTGGACAACATTACCTGTCTATATGTGGGGGAGGAAAGACAGCTGTGCCAGCAAAGTTTGGCCCTGGGAATACAGAATTACATTTGCCTATCGTACATGACTTTCCTCCTCCATTTGATGTCAGTGGATATTCAGCTCCCCAAATTAGAGGTAAATTTAGGATTTGTCAACGGGTCCAGCATTTCTAAATCTACTATTTTTTAACTAACCCGCAGAGAATAGTTGTCTACAGGATTTGAAAGGGAATTCACCTCAACCTATGCCAATTAAAAGCAACCTGAGACTTCTCCGAATTACCCCAGCAGTTTTGGGGAGTAGAGGCTGCCCTGCAGGTGCTTCATTGTAACACACTGCACTCTCAGCCATTTCTGGAAATCACAACACAGAATGTCAGGGTGTGCAGAGATTATTTTCCTATCTTCACCCACCAACTGTCTCTATACACCATAATTATTTCTAAAGAGGAAAAAGTGATCAGATGTTTCCAATTAAGTTAACATAATCTTTGCCAAGACCACTTCAAGACAATTGTTTCCAGGAATTCAGACCCACTGGATATTGAGACCTTGTTATACTGTAACCATGTTATCTATTTCACAGCAGCTGCTTCTCACTTGGATACTAATGTCAGCACCCATAACATAGCAGGACATTGCCATCTTTTCCAGGACAAAATTCAACCCTGTCTCTCCTCTTCCTAGAGGGTAGTACTAACCCAGATTGCTGGAAGTCTTTCTTCCTCACCAGCACTAACTACAATCATCCAATTGTGCACACTGAATACTCTGAAAAAGGTAGTTGAGGAAGTTCCCCCCATCCTTACCCTCCTACCAAAATACGTACTGATGCATTTTCCTTCGTAGGCTAATCCAATGGATCTACCCAGCAAGCAGGTGGCTTTCCTCAGGTGGCAGGCACTGGCGTAAGTTATGCCGTCATTCCCACAGAGATACTGTTCAGGGGAGGTAGGCTCTGGACAAATTCGATTACATGTAACGCAGTAGGCATTGTTGGTTTGGTCAACCACACACGTGGAGCTGCCTGGGCACAAAACATCCCTGCAGGTCTCTGAAATACAGTCAGAAACACACAATGATTAGTAAAAGATACCATACTCCCAATGAGGAGTAAATAGGTGACACAATGAAACACATGATCACATGAAAGTCTTTAGCAGCTCTCATTTAAGGACCACTGGAGGAAGCCTTCCCATCTCAGGGTAGCTGGCGGGACACAAATGCTGATAGACTATGGGAACTCTCAATTCATTACATCCTTGTGTGGTCTAATTACTATCTCCTAACCTTTGGAACATCACTCTGGTTCCTGTGAGGAGGTACATGCAACATCTCTTCCTCCCTACACTCAGACACACACCCTTTGGCACTTGAGGGAGATTGGATTAGATATGCAAACCTACTTTTGCATTTGCCCTGATACTGGACTTCAAGTTCGGGCTGTTCTTTACATCTGGCTTTGAGAAGGGCACACTCGTTCCTGTAGGTTTTCCCATCTAAGCCACACACGGGGCCCTTCCAAGTGATATTAGAGCAATCCGGAGCACAAACACACCGAGGTTTGTTCTTCTTATTCATTTTACATTTCTTCCCGGGTCCGCAGTCCACATTCTCGCATGTTTCTGATGGAAGGAAAGAGGCACCACTTTAGTACCTAGCATGCAGAACAGACCTGGTGTCAAAACTGCTTAAAGGAAAAAAAGACACCGTGAACCCAGAGGACAGAGAGAGAACACCTTTCCCCACCCCCATCCAGAAAACACCACTCGAGCTAAATCCCCCCCTCCAGTGAGGGCATGGGGAAGAAGTCACTCCTCTGCTCCTCTCGATATGCAGGGCCGACGGGCAGAAATGGGAATCCCCTCCCCGATCCCGAGTCTGGTACGAGACGGACCTTAAAGCCCCACGGAGGAAGGAAGCGAGAGGACCGCAGTGCACCCCTCCCCTCCGGAGCAGTTCTCTCCCCGCTCCTCCTCCCCACAGCTCAGCCCCTGCCTGAGCCACTCCTCAGCTCGGAGCAGCTCGCCAGCACCCCCTCACCTTTGCACGGGATGCAGTTTGGGGCTCCCCCATTAAAAATCATCCACTTAAAAAGCGTGTTGTCGTTGACGTCCTCCGCCGTCCAGGACGTGGTCAGGCGGCCGCTCTTGCAGCACTCCTCCTTGCTGAGGTCGGTTTTGTAGAGGACCTGGCAGCGCCCGTTCCGCGCCTGCCGGAGCCAGCAGTTCCCAGCTGCGGGGCGGGGGGCGGGAGGGACACCCAGACGGATCAGTGGCTGCCACCAGTGACCCAGACACAGCACGTGCGCCTTGCCGTGACTTTTACTAGACTGTTTCCTTTTATTTGTCCGGTTCATAACCCGCAGCTACTACGGCCCATTTGGAAGCGCAGTTTAAAAAGCAAACAAACAGATGATCCCTCCCTCCCCAAGAAAACCACCAAACAACCAAACAAAAAAAATCCCCCAAACCCACAAAAGAGCAAATAAACAAAAAAATACCCCCAACACAAAAAAACCCACCCCAGAACCCTAAGCAAAACAAAACAAACTAAAAGAAAGAAAAGACCCAACCAAAACAGGACGAGACAGTTTTCCGAGGTATTTATTCCATATGTAGAGCAGAAGGAGCACTGTCGACACGTGACAGAGGCTTGAAAAGGATGTGCATTTAAAAGGGAATAAAAAGAAAATCGCGCTTGCAAATTCCTTCCTCCTCCCCCTGCCCTCTCCTCCTCACCGCGGCTGCACGGCAGCATTGTTTTAGTGCCGCACAGTTTCAAGTCCCAGCCCATTTTGCAATCTGCACGAATTGGGAACATTTGCTGTTAGAGAAGTCTTTCGAAATCTCCACATTCTACTGCTTCTATTAACAAATGTCTTTCCTTCACTAAAATAAGTCAGCAGAGTTCCAAAAAAAAAAAAAAAAAAAAAAGTGAGCAAAGTACATAAAATACAAGGACACTCTGAGTAGGAGGTCCATACAGAGTTTTAAAAATCGATCAAGCTGGAAAAGTTATAAGTGCCACCTCTCCTGCAAGCATTTTAGAGGAAAGTACACTGTTCTTACAGGGGATAGAGTGGGTTTTGTTGGGGTTATTTTTTTCTTTTTCTCCCCCCCCCCCCCAGTATCCCTGTTATTTGTGGAGTCAAGCCAAGAATATTAGCCCAAGCAACTCCCTCTTTTTAGCTGGAGCATTTTGGTTGGGATGAGTCTCTCGTGAATAGCCAATGTGACTCCTCCAGCAACTCAATACCAATTGATTCTGCTGCTAATCTAGCCAGGGCTCGATCCTGTCTCCTTACTCCGATGGGAATGTACCGCAGCGAGGGGTCAGGATCGACCAGCCGAGATGTCGCTGGGCGCGGGGGAGGACTCCCCCTCGCTAAAAATCATCGAACAAACAACGCCCTTAAAAAAAAATTGTTTTAGAGTTGCCTACATTAGATTAACTTATGCTCTATGTCGATAGGGGGAGAGATAAAAAATAAAAGGAAAACACTATAAAACAACAACGGCAAGACATCCAGGTTGTGGCTGGAACAGTCAAGATAAGTGGAAAAGCCCCAAAACTAAAAATCGATATTCTCTTGTGTCGAAAGAGGGCTCTTAAGAGTTGTCAGTATCAGTTTCGGGTTTGTTTTGTTCGCACGGTGAAGAAAAAAACAAACCACCAACTTATTAAAGCACTCTCTTCAGTGCAGGAGAATTTACAACGCTAATATTTATTCAGACACACACACACACACACACACACACACACACACACAAAGTAGGGAGGAGGAGAAAATCCCAATATTAAAGGAATGTCAGTAAAATGACCACTTATTGGTTTCTAAAAACGTCAGCTGTAATCGTGGGGTTCTCCATCACCACCTCTCCTTCAGTCAGTCCGTCAGACGAGATAAAAATCTGAGCTAAATTACCAGCAAACTTTGAGCAGTCATTCGGAAGCCGAGACTGGAAAAGTTCCCTCGCGATGCTGCTCTTCATTCATACTGTATAATAAGAATAAATACCAAGAAACATCCTATCTGTCCTCTGTGCCTGTGTAGAGCAATGCGAACATCCGATCAAAAAGGGATCTAAATGACACCTCTGCACCTCGGTATAAAGCAATCACATGCCCACAGTTAACTTCTGTTCTGTTGGACCTTGGAGAGAGGCGTTTAACACCGCGAGCAAACTAAACCGTGCCCGAAAGAGAGAAAACAGTAGTAATAATAAAGAAACGTATCTGCTAATAAACAATCTGGTCTTACCCTCCACTGTGTGATCTTCCATGAAGTGGCACAGAAACATCAGAAATAAGAGCATGCCCGAGTGGATTCTCTGATTTAACATCCTCAGTATAGCAGCGAGTGAGCGAGAAGCAGAGAGAGCGTGAGGGGGAGTAGAGAGAGGGAGCGAGCACTAGCCAGCCTGCTTATGATCGCTCTATTGAATGAACGTCAGGCTCTGAATGCAGTCTCTCTTTAAATCTATACGGGGGTCCTAGCTGTCTGCGGTGGGCGGTCTCCTAATGTGTGTGTGTGTCTGCTCGGGGGTGGGGAGATTTAAAAAGTTCAGTGTGAATCAGGTGACATTTTCCACCTTCTGGAAACCCTCTCCAATTATCCGCTCTAGGTGCACGAACACACAGGCGCGCACCCGCGCAGCCCCGCGCCGCGGAGTCGCCGGCGGGGAGAGCGCCAGCGCCGAGAGGAGCTGGAGACACACGGGGGGTCGCGGCCGCCCAAGGGGGGCCCCTGGTTCCCCCTCGACGGACCGGGGCTGTTACCGGGGCGCGGAGCGGCTCCTGCCCTCCCTGAGTGGGCTCCGCGGGCGCGGAGTGCCCGTGGAGGATCCATCCCGCTCTCTGAGCGTCCGGCGGGAGGAAGGCGTTTGGCGGACGGACAGCTCGCTCGGCCCAAAGAAACCTTAAACTCCGACCGACCAACTCCAAACCTGAAAAAACCCCACACCAAACCAAACCCCCCCAAAACAAACAAACAACAACAACAACCCCCTCCCCCCCCAACAAAAGCAAAAGACAGAACCGACTAAAAGTTTAATACCTAGGGCCGTGCCCGACTGACAGGGTTTGCACTGGGAGCGCCCGGGAGGACGAGATGGGAACGGGGGCGACGTAGGCGGTCTCCTTTCAGAATCAGAAAAGATTGCAACATCGATAATGAACTTCTAGGGCACTAGTTTATTAAGCACAGTCTGGCATTATTCTCTCCTTAGAAAAGTTGGCGGTCTCTCATTTATAACATTTTTTGGCACCGCTGAATGAAACTGAGTAGGCGATATTTCCTTTTATACAAAACGATTACTTAACGGAAAATGGTATTGTTTATTCAAAAGCTGCCTTTTAAATTTCGATTCTTTCGCTTTTCTGAGCCACCAAAGCACAACAGACTGCGAAGTATGCAGACAGGAATGCCCGGACAGTGCCGGGTCAGGGGCCGGTGCACCGCCGCCGCCCGCGTCCTCCGCCCGGCCCTCCCCACAACCCTCCTCCCCGCTCCAGCCCCCCACCCCTCTCCCGACCACCCCCTCCCCACAACTGCAAATAACTCAGTGATAACAGATTTTTTTCCACCAACTGCAGGAGATAGTGCTAATCTTTTAATAAAAGATCCCATTACAATGGGATCTGTCTGGACAGACTATAATAGATCCAGAAATACAGCCGTGCTAATATTAGAAGACAGTTGTTTGGGTGCCTCAGGCCGGGCCCTGGTCCCGCTTTGAAAGTGGGCATGAATCACAATGTCCCTCCGTACCACCTGCGGTCACACGCATTAAGCAGCAGACTGGTAAATGATTGACCTCGCTGCATATTTTTTTTTTTTTGTTATTATTATTATGATCCTGGTCCTGAGCATCGCCAGGGCATTTTGAGCACTTCAGAAGCTCCAGGACTCCACATCCTTTTTAATCTCTTCCCAAATTGGTGCCACTCTCCCCTGCCCCCCGCCTCTCCCCGCCGGCTGCCGGGGCCGCGCTCATGCGGGAGCGCGGAGTGCCCTCTAACGGCGGCGGCGCTCACGCCGCGCCGGGCGCCCCGGAGCCCCGCACGCTGCCCCCGCCGGGAACGGATCCCAGGAGCAAGACCGAGCACCCGACCCGCACCGGCTGCACGGCTCGGCCGAGTGGGGTGGTTCATCCTGCTGGGCTCGGGGCTCGCCGAGGCGGGGCTGCGGGGGCCTCCCCGCCTTCGTCGCCCCCTCCCGGGCGCCCGTCTCGCGGTCCCGTCACGACCGGCCCCGCGGAGCTCCGGGCACGGCCGCTGAAAGCCTGAGACAGCGTCGGGGCCGAGGGGTGTCCCCGGGGATGTCCCGGGGGCCACCCGGGGGGATCCCCTTGACAGAACGGGGCGAGCAGGCGGCTGTTCCCCTGTGGGTGCCGGGAGTCGGGCTCCGGGGTCAAACTCACCTTCCCCTGCTCAGTTTGTGTATGTTTTTTAGTAATTGGCCAATACGGTGTTTATCCTGATAGTGTTTTCAATTATAGAGAGTCGTTTTCAGGCCATGTTCCTGGAAATGAAGCGCTGGACGGGTCGATAAGGTTTGCACATGTGCTTCATGCGTGCATCATCAGATCAATATGATTGCACTGGTATGGAGATTTGTATCACACCTGTTCTCTGGCATCACATAAAAACAGCTGCTGTTTCTTTTGTTATTTTCCTTTTTTTGTTTGTTTGGTTTTTTTAAAATGCTGAATATTGGTTGTGTGAGTAAGAACATGTCAAGGATATACTGTATATCAGAAATGCTTTCTATTTTCTCACTGTGTGTCTCCCTTTAAGAATCCCTCCATCCCTTTCTGCTTTGTCAACAATCATATTTAAATTACCAAAAAAAAAAAAGGTTTGATCTGTAATGAATTGTCAAGGTAACGTACAATAAGAGTGTTGGTTTTGGTCTGACAGGTTTTAAAACTTCTTACTGCCGAGAAGTGTATGCATTTTAATATAGGGTTTTGGATGTGAATCCAATCTTTGCTGCTGGCCTTAATCTTAGAATAATAAAGCATTTAAAAAAGACCTGCTAATACTAACATCTCAAACTTTCAGAAAATTGAGATTTGGCTCTCAATTTACATAAAATATATTTCTGTGTTCTATGTCCTGCTTCTAATATAGCTATAGCTACATCAGACTCCATAATCCAAAATATTAAGTGACTGGCTTCTGAAGAAAATGGCAACAAAATACTGAGAAAGAAGAAAAATAATCTACAAGTGTAACCTTGTGTTAACATATGCTATTAACACACACACACATACATGCACATATATATATGTACATACACACACATACATACATACACCTATGGGGAATATTTATTTTGTGATAAGTCAGTATTCACTGTACTAGTATAATTTATTTCCTTTTATTCCTTTCCCCTCACTGTGCTGCCTCTTAACAGAAGAGAGGTTTCTCTTATCAAGAATAGACCAGCTCAGAACCCTCTCTTTAATAGGGAGCATACCTGCAATGAAGTTTTTCAAGGATGTGGATAGGACTCCAGGCTGATTCCAAATATGATTTGGCTGATTCCAAAACTAATTCTTTGGAAGGGATCTGGATTTTGAAGAAAGGAAAATGTGAGGGCCTATCCTGGCAAATACCTAATCTAACATTCAAGGGAGCAGAAAGACTCGAACACCCTCCTGTGGTCCTGGATGTATGTATGCATCATCCCATGCCGTTTCTCACAAAACTGACCTCTACCACACAGCACAAACTCAAATAAAGGTAGAACGTCCTCTTCTGGTAGAAGAGAAGACTTGTTAGCTTCCTTTGTTGCCATCTAATTATCACAAGAAGAATGGCCTGTTCTTGGAAAACTGTGCTTTTACAAAGGTTTCCCTCATTTGCCACTCAGATATCAGATGTAAGGACTTTTCTGAGTACCATTGCATTGTTCCATTTGGAAAACTCCCCCTCCATCCCTCTCCTTTTTCTTTTTTTTTTTTTTTTTAAGTGTAGGGCAACATAATTCTTCAACAACTTTTCCTGTAGAAATTTCATGTGCTGTTTCTCAGCATAAAGCATAAAAAAATTGTATTACAAAAGTTCACTTCTTAATTTGACCAAGACTTTTCCATGAAAAACAAGCAAACTAATTCCCGATAAAACTAAGCTCTAAAATATATTAGCAGAATTCTAATATTAGGCAGTGGGTATGTGTGCTATTACATGAAGTTATTCCTACACATCAGTGAGACTATTAAACATTAAACTTGCATTGTATGCTATTGGTGAGTGTTGCACTTATTATATGAGCATATGTATGTTGAATTGTTGTTTTTTTTTCTTTAAGTTGACCTAAAAGGTGGTCTGTCTTCACGCAGTGGGCAATGGATTGAATACAGAGGTAGTAGGGCTCTTACCTAACCATTACCACTGGTAAAACTGTTCATTCTGGTTCACACTGAAGAAGGATCATGTAGACAGGTGGCATTCATGTTTTAGGTCAGATAAAATTGATATATATGTGATCTTAGTGAAACTGACCCTTTCCTATCTTTTATTGGTGATTCAGGGTGTAACAACAGAACTGTGTATCTCTCTACAGTTTGGTAGATATTTTCCTCTTTCTGTAGGTCCAAATAGGACAAACTGTCTTATATACTCCAAAGACATTTTCTTCTCTTGCGTTGGCAGTACCGCAAACCAGCACTGGGCAAGTCGTCTTATTCACTACCCATTGCAAACAGGATGTGATGTGGCAAGAACAGGTTTAATGTGTGAGTGGAATGAAAACAAGTTGTTAAACAAGTTACTAAAGCTTTCCAGGTTATTGAAAACTTGGACAAAAGTACAAAATTTTAGTAGAAAATGGGATTGGAAAAAACTGTAAGGAAACTATTAAAAACATTAACTATCTCAGGACTTGTAAAGAAAAATTATAAAGGAGTCTACTGATCTATTGCTTTACTGATTTGTTGCTCAGACGCTTCTCTGTATAGTTTCAGAGTATACAAAACAACTAGAAATGTGCAACACACTATGGAATTTCTAGGGCAGAGAAAGTCTTTTCACTTTGTTGGGACAGTGTTTTCAGCAGCAACAGGAATTCTGACATAGATTCTAAATGAATTTTTTAAAACTTAGAAAAAAGAAAATGTAATTATTGTGAGAAAATGTAAGTATTGTGAGAAACCTGCTCTAAACAGCACTTAGGATGCTACTACTGTAAAGAAACACCAGAAAGACAGCACCACCAGCTCCAAACAACGCATTTCCACATAAAGGCTTAAGAAGTGGTATAGTGAGAGGGAGTACGGAGAGTGCAAAGCTGTCAGATAGAGCTGCCCCTGGAACGTCATTTCAACCTTTGGCTGTCGTAAGTCATGTGCTAAGTGCAGGATGGCTCTTGTCCAGCTTCCTGATGGGCAAACTGCATTTTCTACTTCTG